TATGGCCACCTTGAGTGTGTGTGCGGCCATGGGTGTGCGGCCCAAGGGGTGTGCGGCCATACACTCATGAAAGAAGGTGCCTTTGAAGTGTTCTCAAGGTTTATACTTGTATCCACGAAGTGTTCTAGGTCTATACTCATTTGTAGTGCAAGTTAAGGGTCCTAGAAGTGGGTTTGGGGCCCTAGGATGAGTGTGTGGTCGCACACGGGAGTGTGCTGCAGCACACAAGGAGTGTGCTGCCGCACAAGGGTGTGTGCGGCCGTACACAGGTGTGTGCGGTTGTACACCCTACATGAAGATGTCCAAAATGTCAATTCCAAGGTGCAATAAGGATAGGGTCATGTCTATCTCGAGTATGGAAGTCAAACTCTCACTTTGGAGGGTGTTTTAAGAGTGTGTGGCCACCTTAAAGGGGGTGTGCGGCTGCACTCACTTCCAAACACGAAGAACATGACGAATATTGCACACTTAAGGCTTAGATAGAGTGGTCTTTCATGGATATCAAGTTAGAGGATGAATTACTCACGTTCTTGAAGCTTTGGAGGGTTTGTAGTTGAAGAAGCTTGAGAGGAAAAGTGTTGTGTGATGCCAAGGTGTCAAAGGAATGAAAGGAAAGGGGGCTACCCTTTATATAGGGATAAGTATGCTGCCTAAAAGAGAGTGTGCGGCCAAGAGGTGAGTGTGCGGCCGCACACCCATGTGTACGGCCGTACACTCCCCTCAAGGGTGTGTATGGCCCGGTTTCAACACTATGCGACTTGTTGACTCATTCCTAAAATCAACCTTGGTCTTACTCAAGCTTAGAACTCTCAAATGAACCCCTAAACAACACAAGAAGTCAATAAAACAAGTGTAACATTGATTTAATTGGCTAAGTGTACAAGGTAGAAGTTTCGGGTTGTCACATTTCTGCAGCGTAGTCCCGTACCTTTGCATAATGCTCTTCTAACTTACCTTCTATCATCTCTCTTGCCTTTGTCATAGACCTGTGACATTTCCCCTTAGATACATCTACTGAAAAAATCCTAAGTACATCTTCCTTCGTCTCAATTAATGTCATCTTTGGCTTCATAATAATATCCTTCAGGTAATGTTTGGCTAACCAGTTGCAACTAACCAAAGTTCGAAAATTATAATTTCTAGCACATAGATGTATGTCACATATAGATTTAATCTAAAATGTTTGTTCATTATACTTCCAAGCAACATAAAATCTAAAGGGACATGGGTCCTTTTTATATATTTTCCCACACCTAGCAATCATTCTATGCCTATCACTCTTCATAAACCACAACTGATATCCATTAGTTACTACATAGTTAGTTAATGCAAACCTAAGTTGAGAAGGGGACTCGTAACATTCTCCCACTACAGGCTTCATTTGTTTCCAATGGATGTTTGGATCATGAACCCTGTACTCTACACCCACTTCACCATCATTTTGATCATCAATATGATCATGTTCTGGATCCTTAACACCAACTTCCTGATCATCATCTCCCATTCCATCAAGAGTCCTCCTTAGCATATTTTCATCACATAATATGTTAAGGAATGGGTCATCAGACAGGTTTGAGGTTGGTTTAAAGATATCTGGTTCAAAATCCAGGAAAGGAGATCATCATCAGAGTCCTCGTCCCTTTCATAAACCTTTTCAGGCCCTTTCACCTTTTTAGTTCCAGATGACGAAACCATCTGTTCAAGATGAAAAATTAAACTTGTAAGTGACACTATGGAACTCGATTATGGAAGATAAGAACACACATACATATCAATTTCTTATTGGCACCCCACATACCTTTCTACTTCAATGTCTTTCAACTTCAGAATAGAAGCTTTTTGCATGCAACAATGGTGTAAGAAAACCTTTTCAAACCCTTCTTCTTCCTAAAACCAACTACATGAAACCATTTTTTGATGCAAGACGTTTCTGTGAAAGGTGATGTTTGGTGGTGTACGAATAGTTTTTCAAAGATCGAGTAGTATAGGAGAGTGGTGACCGGCTGCGTACCTTAACCTGTTGTTAACCGGTTGATAATACGATTTTGAAACGTGGTCACAATTATTTAGGCTAATTAGAAACAAAAAATCCATTAAGGGCTAATTTAGAATCGGGGTGTAAAACTTATGGCTTTTATGGTATTAACCCTTAAATATATAACAAAATTAGATACATATGAATATATAAAAATTGAAAAACACACATTGATCTCACTTCGTGAATAATTACTGAAAATTTAAAATATATATGTAGTAATAATCACATGTGTGTGTTAATTAATAAATCATTAAGTATATTATAAATATTAATCACCGAGTTGACCGAGTTTTACAACACTGCTTGCTTCAGTAAGGGGCTGATCAAGGAGTACTCGGATTTTGTAACTCGCCTCGGTAAGGGGCCGAGTAGGGAGTCCTCGTCCGAGTAATCAGCCAACTTAGTGAGTTTTACAAAATTGCTCAAGAGTGCCCCGAACATAGAGAATAATGAGTTATAACATGCCAAAGTGGGAATCACAAGCATCGTGCATAAAGAGGCATATTTCTTGAACAACGTATGCGAGATTCAATAAGGTAAAAGTGAGGTACTGAAGAGTACTTGTCAGACTACGATACTTAATAAGATCATCGAAATATAATTGTCAAAACGACAATCGATATGAGACATTTGTTGTTCTTCCAAGTGAATCACGTACTGAGACTCCAAGAAGGTGGTAAGAGGTGAACGGTTCTTCTAGACGGCATCCATGACCAATGATGACGGACCTACTCGACCACCTCCAACCACTGTAAATCCCTACGGAATAACCCACATCAAAGCGTTTATTCCCTTAATTCTATTATGACGTTTGACGATAGCTTTTCGAGATCCATCTTTATTCTCTTAATTATTAATCTAGATCGGTTGGATAATGATGTTTGGCGAGAGCTTTTTAAGACCCATTGCATTGGGTTTGGCGTGACTGACAATATTTACAGCTCTTTGGTGCTCAAGCGTCAAAACCGACTGATCATGAATTGACCAATATCGACTCCATGAAATTATGGATCTATGGTATAATCTTTCAGTCTCTTCTCTAGATGATTCTGAAGCTTGACGCAATTGATAGAACAATATGAATAAATCTGAAAAATCTATTAATTTATGGTCAATGGAATTGTTTTTTGTTTCCTATCAAACTTATTTAGTGAAAAAATAATTTATTTTTTCTTGGAAAAACTAAGCATAAGAAAGTTCGTAGTTTTTCTCGTACTATACAAAACTAGACCAATTTTAACGTATTTTATAATTTCAAGTATTCATAAAACTTAAATCATAAAAAAATATGATTCATCAAGTTTGAGCCCAATTAGTTTTATTTAAAATCAAAATTTCACATCTTAATCGATGAGAGATTTAATCGTGCATGATTTTGGGCTCTAACCTCGGCTTTATATTTTGCCAATTTTAATTGATGTTCACTAACCTTTAGTGGTTTTAACTTTTTAATTTCACATTGTCTTTTGCATTTGGCCTCTAGAAATTTTTCTTTGTTTATTCATTTTTATCTTCTTCTTCTTTTTTATCCACTTGGAAAAGCGAAATGCATTAAAATAACAAACCTATGATTAGCAAGAAGCTAAATCTCAGACAAAACAATAAGATATTAGATAAAAAATAAATGTGAAGGAGGCTAAAAATACTACCCAATTACCAACACCTAGAATATTTCTGTAATTGCACCATACATATGAAATTTTACTCTTTTGATGTCCCAAAACAAAATATTTTAAAAAGTAAAATAAAAATAAAAGTAAAGGGCATTTATTTATATCTCCATCATTAGTCTTTTGATATATATGAAAAAGTGAATAATAGTATTTACGTATACAAAATTATTTAAACAAAAATATGAACATCTAAATTGCAATATATATATATATATATATATATATATATATATAAGTTCAAATGTGGATTCACATCTATTGTGCGGACGTGTGGACAATGTTATTCTATGAGAATGACAAAGAAAATATGTTGGTTGATAATGTGAATACGTTCAATATTACATAACTATTGTTATTATCACGCATTCTCATCAATTAAAGCATCTATAAGGTTATTATAGATTTTTTTTATTATTCTCATTCTGTCAGAATTTGTCAGTATGTTTATTGAGTCGTGTTCTGTAAGAATGAAAATGAGTGAAAAACGATGCGTAAGAACAAAACTGAATAATAATTAGTGAGAATGCATGGAAATGACAATAATTGTGTGAGGTTGAACGTATTCACATTAAACAACTTATTTAATAATTCTCATATAATAACATTGTTCACACGTCCGCACAATAATTGTCCACACGT